CTCATGCAGCTAGAGCTACCATTGCCTTTCTTCAGGGCGTCTTTGAACACTACAACGTCTCACTTCTCGGTCCTCGAGAACCACCGCTACGCTCTCCAGACGTGTCTCTGGATTATCTTAACACTTTGAGTCCCGCACCCGTGCTCGTACGTTGTCGTTGACGAGAAGTTCACATGTAAGCCTGGGATAATACGTGTTAGCATACGTGTTACAGCAAAGTTGAGGGAATGGTAGAGGCAAGTACTTAAATTTCATATAAATTAGTCCATAAACGTGAGCATCAGGTCTCTAAGGGTTACCGAGCGTATTTACGATTCGAGGTCACATAATCTCCAGCAATGGGAAGAAAGCATCCGGAATAATAATTTAAAAATCTTGATGACGGATGACGAATCGTGTCATCGTCGAATGCATCCCATTAATTCGAAGGTGACATGGAAAATTTCAATTCCTGATCAGCTTACGTGTCTCACTCTTTGCACGTTCTTGTCTGATGAATCCATTAAAAAAAAATTTTCTTAAAGCTGATTCTATCCTTCAGTCCCTTTGCGTGAAGGTGTCTTCTGGAGCGTCTAATTCTCAGCGTCATGGATCTTGAGCATGTGGTACTCACTGTGGACTCAGACACAGGCGGTGGCATAGGCTATGCCCGGTCTCAACTCAACGTCAACGATGACGAATAACATGAAGCATGCATTGACACCTTTCCGGTTCTTGGTCCGCTTATTTTTATTGCAAACCTGCTTAAATTTAAATAATTCTACCATAGAAAACAATGAAGTCTTTCTTCTAGTCCATTCAATAGACAGTCAGAAGAGGAATTCGAGTTAGTTGCCCTCTTCCTAAATTGAGAAGTCAGACATTGTGTAATGTCTCAAATGAATGATGGAAAGTATCTCGAGCACGTCCGGAGTGCACGGAACTCTTCCGCGTGACGAATGCAAATAAAAGTGCTCACCTCCTCCTTTTTCTACGAAACTTGAGGCAAATGTTGACCGCGGTGAATGTCTTTAACGAGGACGGGTGGTAACACGGCGACGGACACGGCACGCACGCTCGCGAGCGCGGAGAGGCAACACGTGTCTCTCGAGAGCGTCATCAAAAGACTGCGGAGCCTGGAGGGAGGAAGGGGGTCTTCCTCTGCTCTTCCCTTCCTTTTCCGCTCGGCTGATCGTCAGTCATCCGAGAAGCACCATCGCCACCCTCCCTCCTTCGGCCACCTCTCCTTTCGGTTGGGCTATTAGGCCATCCAATTCCGTACGTAATTGATTCCTGCAATCGATTTCTTCGATGGTGGGTTGTGGGAAGAATCAACGAGGATCGTTAAAGGTTCTAAACGATGGCTTGACCTTCATCACGGTCATGGTTTTCGTGGTTCTTCGTCCTTGAAATCTCTCGACGAGCTTCCAAACTTTCGTTTCCTTATTTCGAGATGACTTTTAATCGTTATCGCCCTCGTTTGGATCGCCATCGTTTGGATTGCCGGTCTCGTCACCTTGACCTCCTTCTGCCGGACGCGCTAACGACACGACGATTTCGTAGGTCAAGTTCAAAACGAAAGTGAGAAGGGGAAGTTGGATCCACTCCAAGGGGGGCAGAGGGCATGGAAAAGAGTTACACGACCGAGGTAGATGAAATACAATTGATTACTGCCACTGATGTAAGTGTCCTACCTACCTCGTCACACGACAGCGGACGAAACTATTACGTTGCATGTGCTCCTCCTACTCCCGCCTCCGTGATACAATTCCAGATGTAATCGTTTCCGACGGAGTCTTGTTTTTTCAGGAGCGTTGATAGACAGGTGCGAGAATCAAGAGAGCCTGACGATCGCGGAACCGTGCTTCCTCCCCCTTTCTACTCGAGAGATGGACTCGACCTTCACATTGTTTCTCGTTATCGCCTGTTTTTCCGTCGAGGCCCCCCTTCCGGTTCCATGCACGTCTTGGACGCGTCCGGCGACTTTTCCCGTCCGATTGGATGGAACCGAGGAAGATAAGTCCGGATGGGACCGAGGAGGAAGAGTCCGGAAGTGAGAAGGAAGCTGTCGAGAACGGGCTGAGGTCGAGGCGTCTCGCTTGGATGAGCGAGAAATGAAACGAGATGCTGGAAGGTCATCATCCCCGGTCCTCTCGTCTTCTTTTTCCTCCCTTGGGACGTGGTACCAGGGGACGTGGTACCAGGGGACTGCCCGTATCTCGCGACTGCCCGAAGAGCACGCTAAATTCCGGAACGTTCTCGCGCCTGTGAAATTTTACGCAATCGCGTGTCGGGAGGCGTGAGGTGTCTCGTTTCGGCTTTCAGACCTTCGGTGTCCAACACCTGTGACGAGACACCAGACGCATCTGTTGCCGAAGGGGTTCATGGCTTTTGGCTTTGAGAGAGAGAGAGAATTAAGCTTTTCTTCTCAGTTCCTTTACTTCCATGCACATTTACTTTACATCTGTACTTCCATGAAATTTCGTTTGGATTCGGTTTACTCGTGCCGTTTCACAAGTAGGGTGAGACGGAACTCCAACTTGCTCCTGGGTTTCTGCCTCGTTTGGGCAAGGCCACCGAAGAAAAGACTGGGAAAAACATCGAAGTCGAGTTTTTCCAGACTCCACAAATCGATGGGTGAATTTTATGAAAGAGCATGCGTGAATTTGTAGGAGCAAGATAATTCTGGCAGGACTCGATGATCGATCATCGACAGCCTCCGCCCTCGATAGGATCGTGAAAGCCTTCCGTGGGAAGTGACAGAGCATGACGGCCGAGCCTGGCAGATCACGACGGCAGAGCAATCACTCAAGACGATGGAACGTCGAGACGTCTGGAGAATATTTCAAGAGCCGAAAGGGAAACTGTCAGGCGAAAAAAAAAGGTCCGTCGGTCTCATACATACGGACCCTTTCCCTTTCGTCAAAGAGAGCCGTTTCTGGCTTTAACGTGAGTGAAGAGTCCATGCATCTGTATTTTAAAGAAGTACTAATTTTCCTCATCTTTGAGCAGTCGGACCGCTAGGATATTCACACTTTTCCTCTGGTGCATGAAAAATGAACATTTTGCCGTTCCTTTTCAGTCCTTCATTTTCCAGTCGGCGACTGCATGCCTCGATCCCCTGGAAATAACGGAGATGTTTAAAAACTGAAGTCCGTGCGACCGACGAGCTAATGGGTCAGCCGACGCACGATCCACAGGTGAACGATACGAACGCGTCCCGGAGGATTCCGATGCCAGATGCGGGAAGACGAGGAACATGTGGGAAGCGGAGGCCCTTCCGAGGCCCTTAAGAGGCCCACCCGAGGCTCATCTGAGGCCGAAGCCCATCCGAATCCTTTCATGCGAAACGCTTGCAGCTTCCTTCCTTCCGGATTCTCTTCCCACGGTTTTTTTTCCATTGCTCGTCCAGCGTGGCAGTTGTCTCTATCAATGAGGAGGAGGAGGTGGTAATGCGTCTCCATCCGAGTCGCCTCCACCTTCTGTCTGCTTTTTTTTCATTTTCAGAGCGGCTTTTGGGAGATGCTACCGGTCGAGGCAGAGATCTGTCCGTTCGACTCCGTCGGGATTTCATCAATTAAGAGGGATAGAAACGATGGGATAGAAGTGATCGCGCCGTTGCGCACGATGCCGTTTCAAAGCGATGCACGGCTGATCTCCACGACTTTCTAGTCCATAAAGCACGAGGACAATCAATCAAGAACGGCCGCATCCGATCGAGCATATAGAGTTAATTTAATTGTGGACGAGGACGTGAACTGCCGAGGTAACGGGGTTCCGGGAATTCCCCTCAGAGTTTGACGGCCGTTCCACTCCGAGGCACACGTGCCTAGCTCTTGGCGCTTCCAGAAAAAATTCGTGCCTTCAATTTCATACTTCTCCGTTTCTATGGCCCCCGGGGATACGTATGCGTTTCACCTCTGGTCACCGATGCATGACCGACTCGCACTTCCTTCCGACCGATTTTACATCTTTTTAAAGGCATCCTCGGGGCGATTTTCCCCTCGAGTCGGTTCCGGGTCGCATCCATCGGCGGAACTAGTGCAATGTCATTGTTATCGTGGAACCGGATCCGTTCGAACGGTACGGCTAAGCAGGATGGAAAGCAGAGGGTGCAGTAGAAGTGCGAGAGCGAAGACGAAAATACTCGAGAAGCCGTGCGAAACCCGAAGATGCCATTTCCCTTCTGCCAGAGGGAATCGGAGAGGACATTACCGGGACGGTAGATTTTGAAAACCGCAGCGTCGAACCCTCGGGACGTGGGAAGGGAAGATGCTGGATCCATCCGCCTCGCTTCCGTGCCTCCACTAATCGGCTTCGCAGAAGGGGGGGGAACATGCAAGAACCCGGATTCTTCCGGGTTCTGCCACCGAATGTGGGGAATCGGAGAACGAGGGAGCAGCCGGGTCGACTTCCTTCAGTCGATAGCCTGTAAAAAGGAAGCCACGACGGAGGGAGGGCACGGAGCGTGGTTGTGTGGAACCGAGCGTCACGTGAGGACACTTTTGTCTTTCGACGCCCCTCCGTCCGATGCGTCTGCTTGCAACTGTAAACTCCCGCCGTTCATACTCTGCATCGACCCATCGACGAAATCATAACGGCTCTCTTTCTGCCGATGCGCAGATCCCTCGACCGAGACAAGATCGGTCGTTTTGATCGACAGGATCGCCGCTTGCGATGGACGAGATCGCTCGAGCACAAACGGCCGGTTTATCAGGGCTTCGCGACCGACAAGGCATGCATACGCCTCGGGGGGGACAAAGGATGAATATCCACCTTCACGGGTCACTGGAAACTTTCCGCAGTGAAACCCACCTCCCTCCTTTCTTTCCTGTCTTTTGACCTTGAGAAAATCTTACCCCCGGTGCCATCGCAAAGAAAAGGAAAATCGTGGGCATATTTTCTGCCCTCTTCGGCAGCTTTCCAAAAAGCTGGACGAATGCGCATCCGCATCAGGAGAGCTGCCGGTGAAGCGAACTCCATGCAATCGAGACCGAGACATAAAGTTATATTTATCACAAACTCTGACAAGATAAAATACAAATGAATGCAGGAAGGTTTTTTTTTTTTCTCCGATCGACTCCACTCGGAACAGCGAGTAAAAAAAACCCGCAAGCCAACACCGCTCGGCCCCGCTCAGTAGATCGCATTAAAGGAGGACGTCTTGGAAAAATCCTCCTCCGTGCACAGCGTGAATCTCCTTCGGGGTAACTTGAGACTCGTCGCGTACCCCATCTCGCCTGCGTTTCTCGTCTGGATCGGGGTACTCTCTACTTCAGTCTCCTGCAAGGGCACATTCTTTTATATTCTCAATATGTTATCATGCTTCTAATACATTTTACAACACGCATCGATTAATCGCAGGCCATTTAATCGATTAATCGGATTTTAATCGGCCTTTAACTCTCCCCTGACTGTGGCAAATTGAGGATGACGGCTGCGTTTCAATTTCTCCAAGAGGTTTTTGCTTCTTTTTCCATTATTCGGAGAGCAAGGTCTTCCTTCTCTTTCTTTTTTTTCCAAATTCAAGAGTGCATACATGCATATTTTGCTGAATGTGCAAGCAGATTGCCATAATTGAAAAAAAAATTTTCGAAAGCGATCTCTTCGTGAAGTGAAACTTGGAAGAGGGAAATAAGCATTCAGGCATCGGTGAAGATTAAAGTCCCATTAATATTGATGAATAATCAATTTTTTTAAATTAGAGTTAATTGATTAGTCGGTTGATTCGTTTAATCGAATAGGCACCCATAAATATACGTTAGTATTTTGTTACATGAAGGCATATGGATATAAACAAGGATTTCTATTCAAGTTCTGGGAATCGTTACCACATAAAATTGGAAACCAGAAAGGGAGAAACCCCGTGATAACGAACTCGAAAATTCTCATAGAACTTCGCGCTTTGTATCCCCAAATGAATGACCGTGTTTAAAACGTTTAGGACTCACTCTCCCCCTTGTGAAGTAATTTAACGGTCTCCTGCCTCTTCATTATAACGGTTTTTTACTCTACCTACTTCAGACGTATTCTTTCCCCTGCAACTGCATTTTCCTCATTTATTACCAGATCGCTGGAGCCAGAAATGACGAAATCCCTCGGTCGCTGGTGACAACGTGTCAGCTCGGAAATGTCACATTTATGCTCCATCCTTGTAAATTTCAAATCGAACACGATGTCAAATGATTTGGCAGTTTCCAGCGGCGAGGCCTCGATTGACAGGCCGCCATCTTCAATCTGCATTCAATAGGTCCTTTTCAATCTGCAATGAAGTGCGGGCTGAAATGACATTGGTATCGCCGAGAACTTTGGGAATTCGTCCTTTCCTGTTACAAGTAGTGGATTCTCGCACGGGGAAGTCCTGCACAGTTGTAGGGGATGAACTGCTTTGCAATTTTCTGTGGTAATAATTCCGAGCATTTCCATAGGAATCCTCGCGAGCGTGCAGACAGAACTGCAGATGGAAGGAAACGTGCGTGAGAAGGCGAAAATCGTGCCAGTATTTCCTTCTTTTGTGCGTGCCGGATGCAAAGCTGCAAGATCATCCAATTTTGTTTTTGCAACTCACGGACGAAAGAAATAATTTGTTTGAATGGCACCGACGGCACAAACTCGGACCTACGACCGTCGTGGTCAAAGCAAACCCATCAAACGCGTTGCAACGTGAGAAACGGGCGATAAAGGCGAGAGAAATAGGCGAAAATGAGAGACCTGGATGTGCCGCTGAGGCGTCGTCTTCTTGATCAGCGTGTAACCGAAAGTCAGGAATGCCTGTCGGGGGAGAAACGATCTTTCGGTGAAAAATTCACTCGGACGCGTGCAGCAAGAAGAGAGGCACGGACCAGAACCAAAAGAGGAACGGTGACGATGGCGGAGGAGTCTCGGTATCCGATCTTATCGACGAGGATGCCGGAACCCCACCGAGAGATGAAGCGGCCCGCTCCACCCAGGGAGCTCCAGACCCCAGACACCAGTCCGTGGGTGTCGGCCGTGTCGGGGAACCCCGCATATCTACACCGAATCCATCGGAGAGCGGCTAACGTGGATTCCGTTTGCTCGATCGAATCGTTAGGAAAGAGGGAGAGACGCGCTCACATGGCCTCGTGCATGGAGTCGATGAGTCCGACGACCTGCACCCCGGCGATCCCGACTCCGTAGAGAGCGAGGCCTCCGATCACCACTCCCAGGGTCCTAAATGTCCTTCCGTCACGTGCATGCCACCCGATCCAGAAAGAAGCGGAAAGAAACGCCGACTCACTCGGGGATGGGCAGATACGGGAACGGGCCGAGGAACAGCAGGGAGAGGCCGACCATCAGGACGCTGATGATCATGAGCGTCTTGAAGGAAACGGAGGAGCGATCGCAGAAATGGCCCCAGACCGGGCAGGTGATGCTGTTGGTCCCGTCTTTCAGGCCGAACACCAGTCCCACGAAGAACGGAGTCAAGGAGAACTGCTCGGAAAAGAGAGAGAGAAGCCCGTCGGTTTCGATCGCCCGTCGGTTTCGATCGCCCGTCGATTTCGATCGCCCGTCGATTTCGATCGCCCGTCGATTTCGATCGCCCGTCGATTTCGATCGCCCGTCGATTTCGATCGCCCGTCGATTTCGATCGCCCGTCGATTTCGAAGGTGGCCATCGACCGACTCACCTTTCGCAGGACTTGCGGTTCCAGGGTGATGGTGATGAATCCGTTGGCGAGGGTCGAGAGGATGAGGCCCAGGAAGGAGATCCAGATCGTCGGGACCTTCAGGAGTCGCATCAAGCCGAGACCCTTCTTCTTGTCCTTTCTCTCGGCTGCAACGAGCGGTAAGGACGAGTTCCCGCCGTTCGACTCTTTCGATTTCGAACGGGATCGAGAACGGGTGGGTTACTTTCGTATTCCGGAAGGAGGAAGTAGGACGGAAAGCAGACGAGGATCTCGAGGATTCCCATGACGAGGAACGGCATCTTGAAACCCCCGACCTCGTAGAGGGCCCCCCCGACGATCGGTCCCGCCATCTGGGCCACGTTCGTCATCGTCCGATTGAAACTCTGCAAACGCGGAGAGGAACCCGGTCCGAACCTTCTCGTCTCGTTTCGCTTTCTCGTCCGTGCTTTGCTCGTTTGTGCGCGTTTCGCTCTTTGCATCGTATCGCGTGCGATCGCCGTCGTCTCCCGGTGTCGATCTGCCGTCGGTAGCGAAAATGCGTTTCTCTCCGATCGTTTCCGTCGCGGGAACGACCGGGTCGACGGTCCTCGGAATATCTAAACGCACGGTTTCCTATCTGGTACGACGAACCTTTTTGGGCTACTGCTCCCGCCATGGGAGCGCTTGCGTCGCGAGTCCGAAGATCATGTGTGCTCCAGCAATCGTGAGTGCTACGAGCAGGCGCAACGAGGCCATCATGGATTCAAGCGGTCCTACCAATTTCGGAGCCGATCGAGCGGGGCTTCGAACCCCTCGAGCCCGACGGCCGGGGAGCTGCGCGATCCGGTCCTCCAAGGTAATTCAAATCGCCTATTTTTGTCGGTGCTAGTCATGCTCTAAAATCTTGCGTCGGCTCCGTTTCGACGTGCACCTACCCGAGTGACGTCACGATTCATTTCGATCGTCTCGACGCACGAAAAAAAAAAATCGGGTCGCGCGACTCACGAAGACGGCAGCGACGCTGTTGGGAAACTCCATGGCGATGTAGGCGAAGGTAGACACGATGACGCCGGCGTTTGCCGTCGCCTGAACCGTTCGGATCGCCACGGCCATCAACACGAACTCCAACCCCGGCGGGAACCATTCTAAAAACCTGCAAATTCCAGGAAGAAAAACTCATTCCGTCCCGGACTACCAAGGACAGACCGCGAAGAACTACGAAGGACAGACCCCGACAGGATGCAGCAGCCTCCGCTCACGAACACTCCCGCGACGAAGGAGAACTTCATCCCGATTTTGCTCAACTGAGAGAAGAAAAAAAAAAGTTGGGACCGTTTGCAAGGTCGAAAGGAAAATACCCCAACGGACGCAGGACTCACGTTCTCCCCGACGAACGGAGTGACCAAGAAACTGACGAGACAGTTCGTCCCGATGATGAACCCGTAGACGGACGCCGATGCTCCCTTCGTCTCCGCCTGACCCGAAAACGAACGAGGTTGAAAAAAAAAAAGTGGAGATCTGGAAGGGAAACGGACGAAAACGACGCCGGAACTCACGATCTTCGGGAAGAAAGGCGGAAAGAGGCAGATGGCGAAGCTGGTGCTCATGGACGCCAGGTACAAGACGAACAGCACGCACCACTGCCGTCTGCTCAACGACAGACACCCAGAACTCCCTCTCTCCTCTTCGTCTTCCTTCCCGTCGGGAAGAAGGCTCTGCTTCTCGCTCATCTTGGCACGCCGAAACGACACGAACCCCGGATCCACACGCGAACGGGACGGGGGTGGAGGTGGAATGGAGTTCGACTGAATGTTCCCCGAGTGAAACGAGATCCGAATCTTCCGGCCCCCCCTTCGTCGAGACGTCGCCTCCGGCTACGATTTTTTTCTTTTTTTTTCTTCACCTTGGGCTCGTTTCGATCGGTTCGACTCGATCCTCGACGGGGTGTCAGAGATGATTCGTCTGCCTCCTTTTCCCTCCCTGCCAACCTTTCGCGTCGGATCCCCCATCGATTAGCCTTCCAGTGCCGTCATCGTCCATCTCTTCACCCGTCACAATACGAAGGGAAAGGGCAGCGTGGAAACCCTTATCGATCTTTTCGGGGTCGTCGTTACGCGCGCAGAAGCGAAGACGAATCGGCTCCATTCTGCGACGCGCACGGTCCTCTTTCACTTAGAGCTTTATAACTGCGTTTTCCAGCGTACTCTGTCTAAAAATAAGCCCTGGTTATATAAGACCTAACCGAGTAGTGCTGAAATTAGAACTTGATTCCAAAACCCTTCCAGCATGTGGGTTGTTCAACTGTCCACTAAATGGCGGCCGCCTGTTTTCTTCATTCCGCTTGATTTTGTCTCATGAGTTTCACTGCTGCTGCTCTTTTGTCGTTTAACTGATGTATGTATTCTCGATTGCATATGACATAAATTGCTGGAAGCAATTAAAGAAAGGACAATTAAATAATATAATAATATATGTCCGATGTTTGCCTGTCCGTCAGAGGCCTCCAGGTTCGACTTTTCCTCACCCGACCCGATCGGCCCGATTAGAAACCCGACCCGAAACTCGATCACCGACCGAGCTTTACCGATCCGACCCACGGATCGTGTCTGGCAGATCGGGCAGGCCCGCAATCCGCTCCCGCCTCTGGGCTTGAGATCTCGAGGTGTCAGATGAAACCTTCGCGGACACCCGACCGGAAATCTGATTGCCAAAGAAGCTACACGCCCGATCCGCGGGTCGGGTCTAAAGGGAAATTGGGGTCTTTAACAACGGGAAGCATTCCACATTCTCTACCTGATACCTGGGAGTTTAAAATTCGTACGGTGTGTCTCAGTTGAATACCATTGGATGGAATCCCCTGAAAATTAGTAAATGGGAACTTTTTGGGGGGAGGTGGGGTTGTCGGGACATGCCAAAAATTATTGATCCGAAATATGGAAATATGGTCATACAATATTCCATCTGCTGGGTATCTCCTTTGAATGCTATGGGACAGAATATGTGAGTGTTTCACGGGTTACTACGAGTATTAAGCAATTTTTAAAAATTAACGAAATTAAATTAAACAAATAAGCAAATAAATAATATAAATTAGATTCAGAATCTGTACAACCTCACATATGGAAGGGACTGTTGCGGATCGTGCGGAGCCGCGTAGGAGACATCTATAGGGAGACATCTACAGGGAGACATCTGAAGTATGGGAAAGCGACAAAGGTAGCAATTAACCCAGGCGTCATCCATCTTAGCTCCTCTGGCACTCGATTCACCACTCGACCGTGAGGAGATGGATGGGGTGACCGAAGCAACGACAACAGGAGACTTGCCAGAGGCAGTTACAGGGCGTTGAATCTGCTTGTCAAAGTCATTTCACGATAAAGAGTCTCATCCTCGGTAGAAAGCGTGTACTCATTATGTGCGGATAGAGACCCTCTACTTCAAAATAAAATCAGGCGAGTGATTGGTGAGCAAACCTAGACGAGATTGTGATGCGAGAGCCTGACACCATCCACGACGTAATGATCGTATTCGTGATGAGTCGGCCAGCAGGAGCGACTGGAAGTAGCCTGGAGATAGTGACCAAACCAGACGGCTGGGTTAGCGAAAGCACCGATTCGAGCCCCCCAGGGACATTATCAGCATCAGCCGATAATGGAGGTGATAATTATGGAGAGCAAATCTTATCGGCTTCTGGTCTGAATCTGCCTCGTGGAGGCATCGTTAGTTCGCTTTCAAGCGCTGATTATGCATTCGACAAACGCATGTTTTGAGTTATTTTTGTTCGTCCGCAAGAGAGCACTTGAATAGGAAATTAAATAGGAAATGCACGAGCATCGATGAGCATCGTCGCCTTTGTTATCCTTTCAATAGTACACGATTCCTCCGCGAGAGCGCACGACGAGTTTGAATGACCAGCAGAGCCTAATTCTGCCTAACCTTGCTCTCTTCTCTCGGCTCCAGTTGCCGTCTGTGCTCGCCATACGGTAAGCCTCATCGATTTAGATGTTTTTTTTTTTAAATGGTAATAGGCTACGGAGAGCATATCGCTTGCCCCGAGTGGTACGAGAAGAGAACCGGAGTGAACCAGAATGGACGAGTATATCATGTCGATCGCGACATCGATACGGTTGACAGCATTCGCTCCCATTCGTGAGGCCGGTTTTATTCTGCGAGCAACGAAGATTTCAGTCCCTGAATCGCCAGGACAACTGAACTTTGTACGGAAAGAGAAAAAATGACAAAAATTGAGAGGTAGGGGAGAACCGGAGACCGGAAGAGAGAAATGGAATGATCGAGACGGCCGAGGCCTCTCCTTGCAATATAAAAAAACATGGCTGCACGCTGTGTCGCCCCCCCTTCGAGAAATTTCTCATGTTTGTGGTCCCCTTCCTTCTATAATGTATTTTATGTCCCCGATTCAGCGTCAAATTCAGCTCAGTGAAGCAGGCTTCACCTTTCATCGATGCTCACCCCCTTAGACGCTTCAGCTTGCGATGTGCCTATGGATAGGAGGTTTCATGATTTTCGTATTCATTTTCTTCACCCAAACCTCGGGAAGCGGTGACTGGAATGCAGTTCATCGGCAACCACTGTAGCCAGGGTCTGGCCTTCCAATCTAGATCATCGTTAGATTAGGTCTAGACCTACGACAGGTTACGGATTCTGAAGGAAATCATGGTCTTCGTACGACGAGTGGGCGTATCGTGAACGTAGGCTAATGATCGCGACCTTACTACAGTATATCAATCTTATAAATCGTCTATTACTAGCTTCTGGACTCGCTTCTTCGATGTTCGTCTCGCCCTCCTCCAACCTTTTTCCGAAGAAAATGTTTCGGTTACACTTTTAAACTGGACAGTCATCGAGTTTCATATCGGACGTGGGTTCTGATATCAAATTCGTCGACTTCCTCAAATTTTTTTTTTAGGGGGAGAGGATGCACCATCCTTGTTTGCATAGGCCTAATTGTATTTCTTTCCCCTTAACTTTATTTCCTTAATTCTTCAAGCATAAATTTCTTTTGGTACGGTTGCTAGACTCTCCAACGCCGCTCTTTGTCCTGGATAGGAATGAAATCGTCATGGTTTTCCGGAGATTGGAGCAAGAACTTGATTTCCTTCATTTTAAATGAACTCACACCTTCCTTCGCTTCTAATTTCGGGGTTGCCATTCAGTACCGTTCAGGTGAAATCATTTTCATATTTGCTAAATATACGAGGGTACGAGGGGTGGGTGGTCAGAGAGTTCCAGATCTAGGTCATTAACTTAGGTTAATTATAGGTCTTTATTCTTTGATGCGCAGGTGTCACTTCTTTGTTGGATCTAATGGGTGCATTGACTAAATTAAATTACCTTTCATTTAATCATTTAAATCGAAGTCTTCCTTGTAATATACTTTGTTATTGATCTACTAGGCGAAAATGAGCGTGGAATCTGATTTAAATAAAAGGTAATCCAGAGCCCCATGAACTTTCTTGTGAAATTAGGGAAAAGCGCCAAAGAAATGTGTAAGTTGTGTGCTGTTGCTTTTGAAGCAATGCTCCAGACTGCCGGATGATATTCGATAGACACAAATGATAATTTAAAAAATAGGCAGGCTATCTGGGAGAACCAAGATTGCGTCAGCCACCCACAAAGAGTTGAAAGAAGCCAAATTGCTAAAAGTCCTTGAGAGAACTCAGAAAGTGATGATACATGGGCTCTCACAGTACCTCGCCGTCGTAAGATTACGGCGGCTTTCAGGCAGTTTCCGTCAGGATTTTACACCTCAGCTGATGTTGACGACCTCCTCACCATTGGGGTACCTTTCTTAAAAGTATTGCCTTCTGTGAATCCTTTGCGCCACTCGATTGCCGTCAAGTTTCTTCTTCAATCGGTCGAGGTGGACATGGGCCTATCCATGTGAGGTGGACATGGGCCTATCCATGGCAGCTGTAAGAGATACGAGACCCATGTAGTTGTCACATGATAATTATAGATGGACACATTAATTATAGAAATGAAGATGGAAACAGAAGAGTCAGGTGGCGAGGAACGGTGGAGCTAGACTATGGAGTTGAACTCGAACGGGATTGAAGGTTTCCCGAAAATAGGAGTAATCATTCTGAAAATCATCCTCATCACCACGCCCAGCCACCCCCCCCCCTCCCCCCGATTCTCAGTTTTTTCATTCTTTGTCTTACTCTTAAATTAGGATTCGCTTCTGCTGCCTCAATAATCCCGAGGCATGAATTTCTTCCGTGATATTTCAGATCCCAAACTAAAAAATGGAGCGAGGTTATAGGCCGAGTCGAGGAAGAGGATATTGGGGAGGAGGTGCAGGATTCGGAGGGAGAAGTGGAGGTGGAGGATTCGAAGGAGGAAGTGGAAGTGGAGGATTCGAAGGAGATCGGATGGAATTCTCGTCATCGTTGGATTTGGTGCCGGGAAGATACCGGTTCCACGATTTCCTGCAATCCCGAGTCCGGGTCATCATGAGCGACAAGAGGTGGATCGAAGGGAAGTTGCTCGCTTTCGATCGGCACCTTAATCTGATCGTGGAGGATGCCGTACATCATCATCTTCTCCGCCCCAAGACGAAGAATAAAGCGGAGATAGTCCAGAAAAAGGTGCTCGGGTTCGTGATGATCAAGGGACCGAACGTGGTGACCATCTCCACTCTGGACCCTCCGAACGGTAAGCCGAAAGTCTTAAACTACTCTTTCCGAATCGAATCAAAGAATCGAATGAAAAGGGACTAGGAAGGAAAGTAATGGTAATGATGTTTTCGATGTTGGTAGACGAGATGATGGCGAGCGTGTGTGAGAGTTTCAAAGACCACACCCTGGGCAAGGAAGACGAAGAGGACAGCAAGGAGAAACGTTCCAACTAAACCGAGAATTTCACCTTACTGCCCAACCGTCTCTTTCTTCGTTCCCTTTCCTCATTTTCA